TGAGAGTCGTGGGCGCGATGTGCTCCGGCATCGAGGCGTGGGTGAACTTACCTGGAGTGACTTTTCCTTGCAAGGGCTGTCAGAACAGGCGCCAGGCGTTGTCCGAGGCGCTGTCAGAGATGCTTATTTTTCTATAGGGGAAGAAGGGTCAAGTGGAAGTCCAGAGTAATAAGAAATGCTGTGTTTTTCATGCTTCTGTGGAAGGGCTTCAATCTGAACTATTTGTTTACCTTGAACTCTCAACTGCAGGAAATGCGCGGTGATTTGCAGTAAGGGACATTGAGTGTAATGCGGTGCCGGTGTCTGGTGTCCTGGTGTAAATGGCTACTTCTAGGCAGCATACTGTATATACATTCCTTAGCTGGCGAAAAAAAAAAAAAAAGAGGAATAAAAAGTTAAATGACGATCCTCCAAAGAAAGGAGGCTTGGGGGGGGGGGGGGTCAAAGGCTGTATTGTTAAAAATCGGAAATAATTTACAACATTTTCTTTTTGAAGTGTTGCTTTGATTTTTAAGTCTTACTGTTATGCCTGCAGGACTGTAGTGCAGCTTGAAGTTATGCACATCAATCCTTTGTTGGGTTGTTTTCTTTAAAAAAAAAACAAAAGAAAAATTGTTTAAGAAAGCGGTAAAGCAACACATCTGCCTTCTAGTTAGCGTACTTGTTGTCTAAAACTTTCAGTTGTTAAAGTACCCATAAATCCTGTTTTTTCAGATATTAAACAGCTACTCTGGACCTGATGAAAATCAGTTGGTAAACTGTCATCTGATTTAAAAGCCAGAATATTAATGGCACATGCGCGCGCACACGTGTGTGTATATATATATTAGTAAAATTATGTACTGCATTTCTAGTCTTAGCGCTTGAGAGAGACTGATTTTTTTTTTTATTTATTTACGTGCCAGCAATTAATTACGGAAGTAGTGACTAGGGGAAAAAGATTTCGTTTTGTTTATATTTAGAGTTACAATTTTAAAATTTATCAGCTGTGAAGCTGACTCTTAATTTCTTGTTTACATGGAACACAAATGGAAGAAAAACACATTTTCTTGACTTCTAAGTTGTTGTTTTTTGACATCGAGTACTTTTCAGCTCATGAGTTACCCCAAAATACACATTTTGCCAGCCATTCTTTAGTGAAACTAAAGAGCACGTCAGTAAGGTTGAAATACGGTTCAATGACAAAAAAAAAAAATCCTGTTCTGTATATCTTTATTTCTTTCTTGTGAAACTTCGGTGCAAGAAAAGACTTTTGCATCTCTCTGTTTTCCCAGACAACTTAGTGCTTTCGATAGTGCTCTTCTGTATGTTAGTACTTGTTATTTTGCTTACTCCTTCAGCTCAGGTCTGTGCTAAGAACACAGGGGGGCTTGATCTCTGAAGTGCTGGTCAACTAATTCGCAGTTTCTTTGTGTGTGTGCACAGAACTGAACCTCGGGAGAGAAGAATGCAGAAACTAGCGCTGAATAACTTTCTTTAGGGAGTTTTAACGTTGTAGCATTTGCTTGGACTATTTTATTCCAGCTGCAGCTTTCTAGCAGGCATGGGAATGAGTATGCAGTATTTTTTAGGTTTCTTCCACCATTATCTGTCGCTTTACTCCTGTTTTTCCCTGAGCTATTCTGTCTTGCTAAGTCTTGGTTCTAAGGCAAAATTTTTAAATTTTGTGACTTGATCTGGTCTCAGTGCTTCAGTGCTCCACGTCCTAAAATATTTGTGCTGTCAGTGTGCTGCTTGACACTGCTGAGTTTTCTTGGGCTCAGTTTTGTACTTTCAGCTTTTTTGCAGTCTTCTCGGATATTTCTGTCTTTTTGACCAAACTCGGCATATTGATTTCTTCGCATTTTCTTCAAAGAAAGACTTCTCCCATGCCAAGATGTTTCCTCCCCCTCCCCCTTCCACCCCATCGCCTTTCTCTACACATCGACGTAGGTGGGAAAATGTCATGCTGGCTCGTTGCTGGTGGGGGAGCTGGGACTTTAGGTTTTTCTCTTCAAGGCGCTGATCTTGCGCTTTCGTAGAATCGTGTTGCTTTTGCATGAAGAGCTTGGTTGTGCAACCCCGCTTTACACAGTGGTCGTCCCGAAATCAGCAGACTACTTTTGTCCTCAGTCCAACATCTGCTTACATTGAGGCATGTAAGTAGTTTCACTCGATAATTTTTTTTTTTAAATGGAGAAAACCAGATTTTCTGACCATACAATATTAAAAAGAGGGAAAAATAAGGCACAGAGTTTACACAGTGACTTCAACAAAACCAGAAAGGGTCAGCCTGTCAGACTCCTCTGACTGACAGCATTGCTGTATGTGACAGCCCTGTGGGAAGGCAGGGTTTAGTGTTCTTTTCTGGCCTGCTGGAAAGGACCGTTACTAATATGTTATACAGGAGAATCTGTTTATGTTAGCCCAGAAACACAAAGATGAGTCTTGTCTCTTAAAATCCTGTCTACCGTATTTAATTCTTGCAGCACACTTTACATAGGTATTACTTTAACGTTCCAGGAAGAATTAACATACATAGTCCAGCGCTGAAACTTAGGTGAATTTTATCAGTGTTAGAAAAGCTGCTCAGCTTTGTTGGGGAAAACAGGTCGTCAGACTAAGACGACATGGGATAGCGCTAGTGGTCTTATTTATAAAGTAGTATAAAAAGCAAACTTAGTATGCACGACTATTTGTGAAAGAATCCCATTAGCAGCCTCTGAATAGACTGCCTTTTAGAAGGAATGAATGTTATGGATGCTAGCAAGCTGAAGAAGTTCAGTAAGCCATTATTTTTGTGATCTGTTGACCACAGCACACAAGGGATCTCGACCTCCCGTAATACACTATGGCTGGTACTTAATCTGGGAATTACTGAATGGGTACCCAGAGGTCACGGCACCTGAAATTCTTCAGTGCAGTTAGTACAGACTGGAGACAACTCTTAAATAAATTGGATGAGAATGATTAACATGGGCATGTAAAACTGTGTACACTTTATTAGTTTCACTACAGCTGGCTCAGCCTTTTTTGTATTACAGAATAAGACCTACACAGCCCATGCAATGCTCGATGCTGGCTATGTGCTTAGAGGGTTATTATAGCTCTTATGCTGGTATCTGTATTGTAACATTTTAAAAGGCACTAGCCGTGGGCCAGTAAACCAAACAAAGCCATGTTTTGTCAAATCTTTTAACTACAGTTTTATCTAAGTACCAGATGAAAATTGAAGCTTCTTTCCTATCCAGCTGCAACTTTTTACCTGTTTCCCTTCCTTAGTGGTGTCATGCCATTGTAGTTAGGGTTCCCTCAATCTAATGCTTATTCTAACCTAAACATCTGTTCTAAATTGAGTAACGCATTCTTGTGTGTTTCAGAACTGTAAAAACAGAGAAATATTAGCATATTCAAGGATAATAGCTGTAATACAATGTTTTGGGTTCTATCCAGTGTTGTCTAAATCACTCAGTATTTTTGTAGCATGGTTTACTTATCTGTAAAAAATAGAATGCTGGACCTTGATATTGTACAGTCTAGGCCAGGTCGGCAGTATGCATGCATTTGTAATGGCATAACTTGTCTTGCTTGGCATGACAAACCCTTGGTGCTCCTCAGATGAATTAACCGTTTCATCTGGCAAGTACTGCGCATAACGATAGTGGTGCTGTGTGCTATTTAGCCCTTCTAGTCAGTGACATTGTGGGCACAAACACCCCAGATCAAATATAATTGCTTCCTGACACATCATTCGTCTCTAGATGATATCTCTCAACTAGACATAGTCGAAAGAAACATGGTAAAAGCATAAAAGAAAGAATGAATCACTGTCTCTTTAATTTTTGTTAGTCAGAGCCTGCCTGTTTGTTTTAGGTAAATGCACCTTATAGGAGAAAGCAAATACAGCAGCTTTGAACAAATACATGTTGCCAGGTAAACTTATTGAAGAATATAAGCTAGTGCTAGTCAAATTTTTAAATTATTTTTTTGAAGACATGGATTAGAAAGCTCTGTTTAAAAGGCAGTTTAAAAGTGTGCAGCACCTGAGGTAGATAACTGGTGGTATTTCTGTCTTATGAAGAAATCAAGTTCTGCTTTTCCAGGTCATGCTCTTTCTTTCAGAGGTGTTAGGATGACACGTTAAAATGTACTGATTGAAGATACATTATTGTAGAAAGCACTGGCATAATGGGCTTGCCTGAGCACAAAGGTGCAGTGATTTAATTAAAGGTGTGGTTTAATTAAGGGTTTGAGTTGTATAAAGGCTCATTTGTCTGAACTGTTGGCACTGTGTAAACATAATAAATTTAAGTGAACTTTGCATTTCTGCACCTGTATGCTTAGGGATAGAATTAATAGGAGCATTTTAGAATCACAGAATCTTTTGGGTTGGAAGGGACCTTCAGAGATATTTAGTCCAACGCCCCCTGCCATGGGCAGGGACACCTTCCACTAGATCAGGTTGCTCAAAGCCCCGTCCAGCCTGACCTTGAACACTTCCAGGGATGGGGCATCCACAGCTTCTCTGGGCAACCTGTCCCACTTCAGGTTGTGTTTGTATCCAAACTCTACAACAGTGTCTTTTGATAAATCAGTGCTCCTTTGGGCTCTTCCCACCCCCTCCCCCCAATCTAAAGTTTACCTAGTGTGCTTCAGTCCTGAGCCAGAAGGTACTGGGAACATAAACACTGGTATTCAGACCGTTTAGTCTGAACTTCGAGCTGCCGTTGATGACGTTGATTGTGGCTCCACATGACTGACTGCCTTTGTATTTTTGGTGGGACTTACCTGGATGGAGGTCATGATCTTAACCTCAAGTATGAGTTTGGTATACTGACACCTGTAAAAGTGATACAGTTGGGTATTTATGAACTGTAACTTATACCTTTTTTTTTTTTTTTAGCTGCAGATTGAAATATCATGGACAGAAAATAGTTTGGATGATGTGTTTTGCCAGCATATCTCTGCCATTCGAGTTTTAACAATGGATAAGTGTAAGCACATAGGACGCCTGCGACTGGCCCAAGATCACTCCATTTTGAATCCTCAGAAATGGCATTGCATGGACTGCAATACTACCGAATCTGTGTGGGCGTGCCTCAGCTGCTCACATGTGGCGTGTGGAAGATACATTGAAGAACATGCACTAAAGCACTTTCAGGACAGCAGTCACCCAGTGGCATTGGAAGTAAATGAGCTGTATGTTTTCTGTTATCTCTGTGATGATTATGTTCTTAATGATAACGCAACTGGTGATTTAAAACTGTTGCGAAGTACATTAAGTGCAATCAAGAATCAAAACTATGAGTGCACTACTCGAAGTGGGAGGACTTTGCGTTCTATGGGTACAAGTGATGATTCTTACCTTTCACATGGTGGTGCCCAAGCCTTGCTTCGGAATGAAGATCGCATGTTCACAGCTCTCTGGCACCGACGGCGTGCGTTCCTGGGCAAAATATTCAGATCATGGCTTGAGTTGACACCTACTGGAAAAAAAATTTTGGAAGAAGAAAGGCGTCGGGAAGAAGCAGAGGAAAGAAGGGACAAAGCTAGGAAGAGAAGACAAGAACGAAAGCGTGAGTTGAAAGCAGAGATGGAAAAGATGCCTCCGAGAAAGAGCAGTCGTTTACAAAATCAGATTAGAATGTCCTCAGAAACAGCACCCTGCCTGCAAAAAACATCACAGAACATGGAATCTGTGGCAGAGTTGAAAACAACATATACCTCAGATGAAGTAAGATTGAAAAAAATAAGTGACTCTCCAATTAAACGAAGGCCCACAGTGACTCCTGGGGTAACAGGACTGAGAAACCTGGGAAATACATGTTATATGAATTCTATCCTTCAGGTATTAAGTCACTTACTTATTTTTCGAGAATGCTTTTTAAAGCTTGATCTCAACCAAACTCAGGAACTGCTGGCAACAGCAACCAATGGTAAAACCAGATCTTCATCTAAACACCTGTCAGTAGCTGCCTCAACATTACGTATGAATGAGAACCAAGAGAAAGCAAAAGGATCCTCTTCTGTGAGGCGGCCTAGTTTATCCTCTGGATTAAGTGGAGGAGCATCAAAAAGCAGAAATATGGAACTTATTCAGCCCAGGGAGCCCAGTTCAAAGCATATTTCTCTCTGTCATGAGCTGCATACTCTGTTCCAAGTTATGTGGTCTGGCAAATGGGCGCTGGTGTCTCCTTTTGCCATGCTTCATTCTGTGTGGAGACTAATTCCAGCCTTCAGAGGATATGCCCAACAAGATGCTCAGGAATTTCTCTGTGAACTTTTGGATAAAGTGCAGCAGGAACTGGAGACTACAGGGACCAGATACCCAGCTCTCATCCCTGCTTCTCAAAGAAAACTTATAAAACAGGTTTTGAATGTGGTTAACAACATTTTTCATGGACAGCTATTAAGTCAGGTATGTTTTATAATATTTTTTTTTAAGGTGTGTAGTGATTTGTAGTTCAGGATTTATACTGGTCAGTGATGGGCATACTTCAGAGGTTAATACATTTAGAACTATTGAGGAGGGATGGGGAGGATATAATACATACAATTTCAGAAGAAAGGTCCTTTGGGTACCCCTAAAACTTTCAATAGAAGTCACCTGATAAACATAAAAGTGCTAAACTTGGTATTTTAAAGCACACCTTTGCAACTGCTGAGAAATACCTGACTTTGCTATTAAGCACCAACTAATTTGCAGGCATAAAAAATTTACAATTTTAAGCATCTGGCTTATCACTATAGTGATACCGGATAAAAGGGTGTTAAGGAAGGTGTTAATCTCATCGAAGTGGAAACTGATTAGGTAATGGATACCAAGCAGGGGATTATTTCAGTAAATAGCTTGAATTTGAGATTCATTACCACAGAGTAATTGCCTATCATGATGCTATGTACAGGAATACTACTTTTCTGTTACAACACAAGATATAGAAGGCTCTGTCACCACAGGAACCAAATTGGTGGGGTGGAGGCAACGGTTGTTTTGCTTTTTTTCTCCCTGACTACTCTCCTTTTCTCTTTTTCTTCTTGGCTTCCTGTTAAGTATTTCAATGTGTCCACTTATTATTATGCGTATCCCAACTGTGTGCGTATACAAAAGTCTGAGAACTGACTGAAGAAACAAATGCTGGGTTCTGTTGAGTTAATCTAAAAACTAACTACACTGCAGCAGGAACAGAGGTTGAGAAAGTCTTGGCCCCTTGGAATTGGTCTTTAGTATGCGTGCACATGTTACTAAAGGAGTGCAGAAGCATTTAATGGATATGTTGTGTAAAGGAGTAATTAATTACTTAATTAACACAAATTAACAAAAATGTAGATGTTCTGATTATTCTGACTATTTCATTGATGGTTTAATGTTTTAGTATGTGAAGGTAATCCAAATGGGTTTTGACTAATGTAGGATTGTTTACTGCTATATCATCTACAAAATTCATAATAAGATAACAGGACTTCAAAAATTAGGATTGTTTGCAGCATATATTAGCTTTTAGGTCATCTTAGGTTTTGTGTAACTACTAGAAACTGTTATATCTACTAATAAAACCAGATGATCCTCTACCTTCCATTTGGCCCAGCCTAAGAACATTTATGTTGCCATACTTCCTTTCCTCGGGGTAGTTAATGTATCTTATATCAGGCTTGTGCTAATGTAAGTGTCTAGTATATTATGTCATTAAAGCTTTGTATTTGAAAATGACATTCCTCTCCAAAATAGTAACTCTGTTAGTAAAACAAAGCCATTGCTTAAGTATACTGACAAGGCTTGATTGCATTCCAAGCCTTCCAACAGGACTCATTTTTTGGAAGAATTTTCAAGGCTCTGAAGACACTAAGCATTATTTCAGCAGTACTGCTTCTTTTACATGTTTTTAGCTTTGCTATGTGAAGAGGCTTGTGAAGAGAAATCCTCCCACCCTCCTGAAACCAGGGAGGGGAATAGTGAGAATTCACTCAAGTGTCATTGAGTAAGACTGAAAGGGAATTAAACAGTTTTGAGCTATCCTGTGACTTCTGTGACTACAACATACAGCTTTTTTACTGCAGCTGGTCAATGTCTGTGTGCAAAACACAGCCTCGATGAACTTCAGAATGCCTCAAGTGAGAGGAACAAGGAAAAGACTGTTGAGGCTGTTGTCTGTAGTAATTTCTCCCTGGCTCATTAGGCAGTTCCCACAGACAACTGTCCAACACTTTACCTCCTAATGTTCCCTTTGTCTTCTGCCACACCTTTGTTCCAGTTTAGTCTTCACTAGCACTTTTGAAAATAAGTATTAAAAGCAAAAGGTAACCCCTGAAGATTTACATTTCCTCCTTGGTAAAATGTATTCAGGTCATCTTAATGATTCAGACCCTGGTGTTTGCACATGGAAGGATGAGCTTTAAAAATTCTTACTAGGCAATTACTTTCCTCAGTAAGATTCCTGCATCATGATTTCGCTGGTGTTTGTCAGAACTGGCACAAACTGCTATAATGAAGTTAAAAACGGCACGAAAAGATCCATGAAGGGCTGAAGAAAAATATGAAAGACTTCTTGCTATATCACATCTTTTGACAGCGTTAGTTCTTAAAAGCGAGGAGTGTATGCTTTGTCCTTGTATGCTTAACTTTACCTACAAGCTGTAACACTATTAGAGTTTCTCTCTAGAAGATAGTTGGAGCCATAGCCTACTGCATTTATTAAAAATAGGATGGGATTTTAGTCTAGAGTGTTTCATAAACTACGTCTTAATTCAGTGAATAAGGGGAACTGAGAAGCTAGTTTCTGTGCAGCAGTTGCATTCTGGTTTAGGATTACTAAAAAGTTATTATACTTACTATCCCTTTGTACTGAAAATATTAAAGATATTTGACTCTGAGATACTCAAGTGCAGTGAAGTCAATCTTGACCTTCAAACCTCAGGAATACTATGAACTAACTACTCTTGATACAGTACACAGAGAATCACTTACAATGCAGATAAGCTATATGTTTGCTTAGGTTTCACATTACTTGCACATGTGCAATAAAACATTTTCCCTCTTTTTCTAGCTGTTCTAATTTGAAGGGAAGTCCTAATCCTGAGTTTGCCATCAGTCTGGTGCTATTGAAATGGCTGCCTGGTTCAGCACTGCAAATGAATTTAGAATAAGATTAAGAAAGGAGAAAATTGGGTATGTGAGATTTTATGCAGATTACTTTTTGATAACTAGAAAAAGCTTTAGGTGATGTCAAAACAATTGCATCTTGTATACAAGTTAGTTGGTTTTGTTGTGTTCTCAGCTGGTTTAAAGTAAGTCTTCCTCATCTGCTACTTGAAATCTTGTAGTATTTTATGGAATACTAAACTAGGTAATGAGTAACTCCAGGAATAGTGTAAGTGGATTGCCTCTTGCCTCTTGACTACTTTTTATATCCCCTCCCCCCCGCCCCCCCCCTTCTTTTTAGAATTACAGCTTCTTACTCTGCAGTACAGGCTGTGAAACTTCAACCCAATACATTTAAGGGAAATAAAGATAGGAGACACAGCTACAAAACCCTTCCCCTCTATTCTTTCCTTTTTCACATACTAGTCTTCCACTAGTCTTCCTCCAGTGATTGCCACAACCTCTCGTGGCAGCCCGTGCCAGTGCTAGACCAGCCTCACAGTAAAACCAGTTTCTTCTTCTGTCTGAACGACACCTCCTGTGTTTCAGTTTGCGCCCGTTTCCTCTTGTCCCCTCACTGGGCACCACCGAGAAGAGCCTGGCTCAGTCTTCTTTGCTCCCCCATCAGGTGCTTACACACATGGGTAAGATCCCCCTGAGCTTCCCTTCTCCAGGCTCAACACTCCCAGCTCTCTCAGCCTCTCCTCCTCCATCAGGTGCTCCAAGCCCTTTCTTCATCTTCGTGGCCCTTTGCTGGACTCACTCCAGTAGGTCCGTGTCTTGTACTGGGAAAGGCAGCACCGGACTCCCAGCACCAGGGCTGAGGAGAGGGCAGGGATCAGCTCCCTCGAGCTGCTGGCAATGCTCTGCCTGATGCAGCCCCGGTGGCTGCTGGCTTGCTTTGCCATAAGGGCACGTTGCTGGCTCACGGTCAGCTTGTCCCCCGGGCCCTTCTCTGGGGAGCTGCTTCCCAGCCTGCACTGCTGCCGGGGGTTATTCCTTCCCCGGGCACAGGACCAGGCATTTCCCTGTGTTTGTTGAGCTGCGTGAGGTTCCTGTTGGCCCGTCTCCCCAGCCTGCCCAGGTCCCTCTGGGTGGCAGCACGACCCTCTGGTGTATTAGCCATTCTACCTAGGTTTGTGTCATCTGCAAACTTGCTGAGAGTTTAAAAGAATTGGCTCCAGTATTGACCCCTGGGGTACACCATTAGCGGCTGGGCTCCAGCAGCATTTCAGGCCACTGACCACAACCCATCGAACCTGGCAGCTCATTCAGTTTGCAGTCCACCTCGCTGTCCATTTATTTAGCCTGCACTTCATTTTTGATGTGAGCATGTTACGGGATACAGTGTTGAAAACCTCACCAAAGTCAAGATAAACAACATCCACTGTTTTCCACTCATCCACTGGTTATCTGTATGAGTCATCTCATTGAAGGAAGAAGGCTATCAGGTTGGTCAAGCTTGATTTTTCCATCATAAATCCATGGTGGCTGCTCCTAATCATCATCTTATTATTATAACCTTTGGAAATGGTTTCCAGGTTTTGCTCCATCAGCCTTCCCAAAGATCAAGGTGACAATGACTGGCATGTAGTTCCCCAGATCCTCCTCCTTGAAGATGGGAGTGTCACTTGCTTTCTTCCTGTCCTCCCCTGATTGCCGTGACCTTGCCAGGACCTTTCCAAGATGAAGAATGGCCTTGCAACATCATCAGCCAGCTCCCTCTGTTCTTATAGTTTATTCAGGGATAGTTCCTAATACAAGGCAAGTGGAAGGAGAAGGGCAATCAGTATTTTCTGGGGCTAAAAAAGACCCAGTGAGGGAGGGGAAAAAATTAGGTTTGTGCTGATTTATGTGAACGCTGCTTGGGTACCTAACTTGAGGAAGAAAATTAATGTTGAGTTATGAGTGTAGTGTTTTACTGAACAGGCACATATTGCAAAGCAGTAAGTAGTTGTTGATGATTTCTTTATAGAGAGCTGTTGAGAAAATTCAAATTTAATGTAAGTGATCAAAGAAATACCTAGCCGATGTCATTTTAACGTCTTTTTGGAGTGGTGAGGAACCCTTTAGAAACTATTCGGAGTGGTTCTTGAAAGTCACTTGTGAAGGTTCCACTGCTTTTGAATCCGGGGCCTTAGGTAAAGCTCCTGGCCTAAATTTCTGTTACAGCGACACCAAACATAGCAGTGAAAGTGAAGAGCAGTGGCTATGCCAATTTAGTAACAAGTTCCCTCTACAGCGAAGTTGTGGTTAGTTACCATTTCTTCTTAGGACAAACC